TCCGGGTTCCCAGGTTCCCGGTTCCGGGTTCGGGGTTCCCGGGATTCTGGGTTCCCTGGTTCCTGGTCGATCTCCTTGTGGATCTGTCTCACCATCGCTCTTATTATATATATATATATATATATATATATATACCCACCTCTCGATCGATCTCACAATCGATCTCACAATCGCTCCCATTATGGATCGCACGATCGATCTCATTACCGATCTCACTGAATCGACTTCACTATCGGTCTCACGATCGACCTTACTATCGTCCTCACTATCGATACACTATCGATCTCACGATCGATCCCACAACCGGTTTCTATCAATCGGTTGAAATCGATATGCGAATGTGAGATCGATAATCAGATCGATTGTTCCCCAATCCGTGCTAGCACTTATGGGATCCTAGCATCTTGAAAGATTTGGCGAAAAAAGAGCGGCCGATTTCGGTAGGCCGCCGGGTTCCCTGGTTCCTGGTTCTGGGTTCCCGGTCCCGAGTTCCGGGCCGATTTCGCTGGCCGGCGGGATTCCCAGGTTTCTGGGATCCCTGGTTCCGGGTTCCTGGGTTCCGGGTTCCTGAGTTCCGGGTTCTGGGTTTCGCTGGGCGGCGGGGTTGCCAGGTTTCCGGGTTCCCGGGTTCCTGGTCGATCTCCTTATCGATCAGTCTCACCATCGATCTCATTGCACCTCTCATCGATCTCACGATCGATCTCACAATCGATCTGGCTACCGATCTGACAATCGATCTAAGTATAGATCGCACGAGCGATCTCACGATCGATCTCACTCTCAATCTCACTGAATCGACTTCACTATCGGTCTCACGATCGGCCTTACTATTGTCCTCGCTATCGACCACACTTTCGATCTCACTATCGATCCTACAATCGATCTCAATGCAATATGATTATAAGGGGGTGGGCGATGAGCGGGAAGAAACGTGGGAGCGGAAATCAAAAGATAGGGCGGGCGGGGGGAGGGGCGACGAGAAGGACGAGAAGTCTGACCCTGATCCAAGCGGACGTGCTCTGAGCGCAGCCAGGCCCGTCCTTGTCTTTTCCGCCCTTTCCACCTCGCCGGGGCCGCAAGACATAGCAGGCACAACAAAGCACACGACCGCGGCGGGGGGGCGGAAGGGAAGGCACCCGTGCGAGCGGAAAAAGATAAGCGCGTTCCACTACTCGCAGAGCAGCTACTCGCAAACGGCCTGGATCCACTGCGTCGAGGCAGAAGGGCCCCATTGCATCGAACAACATATGTCTGGGGGACGCTTGCGAGTAGACACGTTGCGAGTAGTGTTAAGTCGGGCCTGTCCCCCTACAGCGGGATTTTCGATGAAAAAAAAAAAAAACCCAAAAACAGTCCAAAAATACTCAAAAAATAATCTGGGGACTATTTTTTGCATTTTTCCCTTTTTGGGACATTTTTGAATATTTGTTCTTTTTCGTCGAAAATCCCCCTGTAGGGGGACACGCCCGACATAAGAGTAGTGGCACGCGCTCGGCGAGGAAAACCGACTCGGCGTGAGCTGGCCCGAAGGCGCCTCGGCGCGCATGCCCGCCGCAGCCGAAGGCCAGAGCTGCGGCGCGCAAAAAAAGGGAAGGGCCCGCCCGGGAGGCTCGGGCGGGACCGCGGCTCGCGGCCGGACGCCTCCGCGAAGAGGCCGGAGTTGGAGGAGGAGGAGGAGGAGGAGGAGGAGGAGGAGGAGGAGGAGGAGGAGGAGGGGGGGCCTTCGCCGCCGCTGCTGTGGACCCTGGAGTAGGAGGCGGAGGCGAACCCTGGAGTTGGAGGAGGAGGAGGACGAGGAGGAGGCTGAGGCGGAGGCGGAGGAGGAGGACACGCTGCACGAGGCACCCCGCGGCCAATGCCGGAGACTGGACCCCGAGCCTGGCGCGCGCGCGCCCCCCCCACCGACGGGGCAAGAGACGGGCTGCGGCGCGGCGCGACGATGCCCCCGAGCGCGCCGGGGCCGAGGGCAGAAGCAGAAGCAGAAAGTCCTGGCACAGAATGGCTCGTGAGAGGCAGGACGAATGTGTACACTGTATATAATACACAGATCATGTGCTGCGCGCGTGCCGCGCGCGGTGCAAACTCAGAAGCGCGGCTCTCCCACTCGACCTTGCCCGTCGCTAGCCGCCGCCAGTCTCCCAGGTCCACGTCTCTACAGAACCGCCCGAGCACGTCCTCGAATCTCGTGCACCTGCGCCAGAGGGGCCGGAGAGGACGCCCTGAGCCGAGGGCGCGGGCTCCGACACCTCCAGGGCCGCCCCGCCCCCGCCCCCACGAAGGCGATCCTTCGACGAGCAGCCAAACGGGCAGGAAAGAACCAGCCAGGAGTCGGCGGCGAGCGAGGGGGGGGAAGTGCAAACTACACCAGACTCGCACCCCCCCCCATCCTCTGATCCCAGTTCCCCCTTTGGACAAAAGGAGGCCTCGCGGAGGGCCTCCGGGGGACTCCTGGGAGGCGTCTCGTCCCGGCCTCCCCGAAGAAAACCTCTGGGTGCCTCTGTCACCATAGGGGCCGTCCTCCAGGGTCGGCGGCACCGGCCCAGAGGCCTTAGCAATAACCAGTCATGAGTCGGCGGCGAGCGAGGGGGGGAAGTAAGAAAGAGAAGGCCTTCTCGGAAGGCTCGGACGCCCCCCGGCCTTCTGAGAAGCTTGCCGAGCCTCCCCCGAAGACGCAGAAGGCTTGTCGGAAGGCGCGAGGGGCTCCGAGAAGCCCCGCCGCCTTCTCGGGAGGCCTCCTCCTCCTCCCCCTCCCCCCCCCCCGCTCGCCGTCGAAGGAGGGCGCTCTCGCCGCGGCTCTCCGCCCCCCGCCCCCACGACGCGAGGGGCCCCACCCTGCCCCCAGGGCCGCGCGCGTCGCCGCCTCCGAGCCTCTAGCGCGCAGCCCCCCCCCCCCCCCCCCCCCGCGAGGGCGGCCAGGGAGGGCGACCGCGCGGCCGGAGGGCGCCGGGGGGGGGGGGCAGAGACCCTGACCTTCCAGGAGGGCTACAAAATAATAGCACGCGACTTCGGAACCTATCCCAGAGCTATTACTTATGTCTTGGTTTGGGGCTGTGTCGTTTCGTTCTGTAGGTTTTTAGGCCTCCCGTGCTAAAAAATAGCTCTCTGGAAGGTCAGGGGGGGGGGCAGAGAAGGGCGCCGCGAGGGGCCCCGGCCACCGAGCCTGGTGCCGGCGCCCCCGCACGGAGGAGCCACCGGCAGTGGCCTCCCAGAGGGGGTCCGAGCAGACTGGCTGCCCACCAGACCACCCCAGCCTGACCCGAAGATCCCAACTTCGTTTTCCATGGGATTTCCTGGGCCACATCTGGGTCAGGGTCGGGCCACATCTGGGAGGCCCAAAACCAGGAGCTGCCAGGGACGGGGCACGAACGCCGACCTCCGAGGATCTGACGTCTTCCGTCCGGCGCTTTGCCACAGGACTTCGGCCTCCGGGGCCCGTTCTCGGGCCTGCAGGGGGCCATCAGAGATGCGTCCGCGAACGAACGCCACGGCAGCGAGGGCCGTCCCAACGGAGGGGATGGGCGTGCAGCGCCGCGGCGCTCAGTGCGCACTCTCGACGAAGCCTTCTGGCAACTGATGGATGTCGTCGTCTCGGAGGATGGCGCACCGATCCTCTGGCGCAGCTCAGACACCGTGCGAACGGAAAAAGCATGCCCGGGGAAGGGGTCGGGACCCCATGGGGCCGCGGATGGAGCAAGGCATGTCGGAGAGGACGTCTGGGAAGGGCCAGACGCCCCAGCGGCACGGCCCAACGGTTGCACGACGCAGGCGGCCTCCCACGAGGTGCCACTGGAGGCCACAGGGCACGAGGCACGAGGCGCACGAGCCCCGCGGCCGCCGACCCCGACCTGGGGATCCTCCCCGCGAAGGGCCACGAGCGACCACGACGCAAGGGGCACAAAGAGCTTCCCGCCCAGGCCCCCCAGGCTTATGTTGCCCCCATCGTACTGAAGGACCACATCCTAAAAAAAAATGTTCGAGCACCCGGGAAAGTGCCGACAGAGCGTCGAAACAGGGTCGGAACAGCGTCGGACGAGCGTCTCCCAGGGCCCGACATGTGAAAACCCTCGAGGCTCGGTACTTTTCTGGTGCTCGAAATCCTTTCTGGCGATCGAGGCTGAAGTCGGTTGGAACATCATAATAACCCCGGGCCCTGCCCTTCCTCTGGCGCGTCCCCCACGTCGGGGAGGGGGGGCAGCGACGGGCCACACGGCCCGAGGGGCAGCGCGCCGCAGGGCACGGCTCCCGCCTGCTCCGCCAGCGCCCCCCCACGTGCGAGTGCCGCGCGCCCAGCCGCGGCCCCCGCCCCCCCGGTCACAGGCAGGGCGCTGCGGTCACACGGCCTGGAACCAGGCGTGCAGCCGCCTCGCCGACAGCATGTCTTGTGGCGGATCGGAGAAGGGGCGGTCGTCGACAGTCTGCGAGTCTCGAAGCACGTTTTGAAGAGGCCCGCCGAGGGCTTGCCACAAAACCAGCCCGCCACCAGCGCCGATGTTTCAAAACAGCGTGGGTGTGTTGCGGATGGGTAGTCGGCGGCTCGCTGGGCGAATCGCGCGAAGGTCACGGGTGAAACGCGGGTGGGTCGCGGGGCGTGGCGCGGGTGGGTCGCGGGGTAGGGCCGACAAGAAGAAGAAGAAGAAGAAGATGACGAATGAGAACCAGCACCGCGGAACTCCACTTCAGCCACGCATACATGCACAGTGTCAGACTTCTCGGCTCCCTCACTCTGGCATTGTCTAAGCACTCTGAAGAACAAGCTAGACCCTCAAGCACGCGCGGTGCCAGCTCGCATTGGCGTGCACTGGTCGCGTTCACCACTGAAACAAGACCTGAGGACCCACGGTAGGGGGGCGACCGCCTTTGAAGCCCTTGTCGCCCTTGTCGCCCTTACCCTTACCCTTACCGCCCATGTCGCCTTTGCCCTTGCCGCCCTTGTCGCCCTTGCCCTTGCCACCGCCGCCGCCGCCACCTGCCCACCCTCTCTCGGCAAGCGCGGCGGCCTCGCTGCAGCAACAGGGGGTGCAGGAGACGGGGGCCTCGGCCACACCCCGGCCTCCGCGGGGCCCCGCGGGGGGCTCCGGGCCTCCCGGAGACGAGGCCCCGTCAGCATCCCATCCTCGGAGCTCTCCGCGCCCTGGACGAAGGCCGACGTTGGGCATCTGGGTCGCACCAAGGGGTGCCCGTCTCGAAGTACTTCCCCAAGCAGCGCCTGTACTGAAGGGGCCACTCTTTGGCAGAATTTCGGTGGTCCGGCCGTGCATTCGAATGGTGATCCTCCCTCACATGCCTCTACTCCATGGCCACCAACCCGCCACAACCGCCGCAAGCGTCCAGAAACATATGGAAACCTCCAGAAGCCGCCGAGAATCCCACATTGCTTCGGAAAACAATTGAACAGACACCCGGATATCGTTCTTTTCCTGCTCCTCCTCACCCCTTTACTCTGGAAGCCTCCGGAAAGATGAAGTGGCCTCTGCAAGCCTCCGCAAAATTCACGAAAGTCTAGAAAGCAACAGCGGGAGTCCTCCGAAAATCATGAACGAGCACCTCCCCCCTCCTCCAGGGTCTGGGTCCGGGTGCAGGTGTGGCGCACTCCATTGGAGCATGCACCTGGACAAAGGAGAGGCGCGGCGTAGTCCCAGGTAGGGCTCCGGCCAGCGGGGTCAGTGCCTGGAGCGCGCGCGCGCCCGCTCCCCTGCCCCCCCCTCTCCCCTTTGGAACCGCTGCTGGTCGACGGCTTGACGTCGATCCACTTCCCCTTCAGTGTCATGTTGGCGGCGTCGGCGAGGACCTTCTGGACGGCCTGGCGAAGCAGGGAAACGCCGCCGTCGCCGTCGTCGTCGTCATCGCCGTTGTCAACGCCACCGCCGCCCCGCGCGCATGGCAACGAGCGCGAGGGGGGAGGAAAAGAAGCAAGAGTGAAAGGAAATGGGGAGGGGCCTGCACTTCTTCCCCCTCCTTCATCCCTCCTCCTCCTACTCCCTCCTCACCCTCCCCGTCCCTCCCTCCCTCTCTCCGTCCTCTCTATTCCCTCCTCCCTGCTGATCCCTTTTCCTCCCTCCTCCTCCTCCTCCTCCTCCTCCTCCTCCTCCTCCTCCTCCTCCTCCTCCTCATTTTCCTCCTCCGCCTCCGCCTCCTGCCGCTCCTCCTCCTCCTCCTCCTCCTCCTCCTCCTCCCTCCTCCTCTTCCTCCTCCTCCTCCTCCTCCTCCCCTCCTCCTCCTCCTCCTTCCCTTATCATCATCATCATCATCATCATCATCATCATCATCATCATCATCATCATCATCATCATCATCATCAGCATCAGCATCAGCATCAGCATCAGCATCAGCATCAGCATCATCATCATCATCATCATCATCATCATCATCATCGTCATCATCATCAGCATCATCAGCATCATCAACAGCAGCAACATCAGCATCAGCATCAGCATAAGTATCAGCATCAGCATTATCATCATCAGCAGCATCATCAGCAGCATCAGCAACAGCATCAGCATCGGCATCATTAGCATCAGCATCATCATCATCATCAGCAGCAGCATCAGTATCATCATGATGATAATAATCATCATCAGCATCAGCATAATCAGCAGCGGCATCATCATCATCATCAGCATCATCATTATCATCCTCATTCTCATCATCAGATCATCATCATCACAATCATCATCCTCCTCATCCTCATCCTCATCTGCATCCTCCGCCTGCTCGGCAGCACCATCACCATCATCATCGTCACCATATTCATCACCAGAGAAGAAGATAATGAAATGGAAAACTGAACGAAGATTAAAACTAAGAAACGGGAAAACAAATCATCATCAGCAGCAGCAGCATCATCACCACCACCACCATCACCATCACCATCACCATCAACATCATCGTCATCGTACCATGGGCATAGTCATCATCATGAGCAGCAGCATCATCGTCATCGCCATGAATACTACCACCATCATCATCATCATCATGATCATCATCATCATCATCATCATCATCATCATCATCGTCATCATCACCAGCATCATCACAAACATCACCACCATCATCATCAGCAGTAACAGCAACATCATCATCATCCTCCTCCTCCTCATCATCATCATCATCATCAGCATCATCATCATCATCATCATCATCATCAGCGTCACTATAAGATTCGTCTTCGTCACCAGCACTATCATCACCTCCACCATCGTGCCTTGCCACGCCAAAACTTCTTCGCGTGCCCCAGATCAGGCGGGTCAGGCAGGACAGGGCGACCCAGGGACTGAGCTCGGCAGAGAGCGGGGCGAGGACGATCGAAAGCTGGGCGAGGGCTGCTCAAACCGTGGCTGCTAAAACGGCCCTCCCGGAAGGAAAAAACAACTTCCCAGAATGAGGCGCGGCACGCGAAACAATCAACGGGCCTCTTCCCGGAAAAACAAAGACAACTTCAAGGAGGTCGATTGTAGCAGCCACGGATTTAGCAGCCCGTGCCCGGCTTCCGAGACGAAGGCGCGGCACACACACACACACACACACACACTTTGTTCTTGAGCCCGCGGACGCCGCATGGTCCAAGACAGTCAGACGCTGATCAGGCAAGCGGCGGGGTGATCTGGGAGTGGCGTCCGCCCGCCCCCTAAAGAGGACGGAAGAGGTGAGGCCACTCGATCATTGAAGTAGGCAGGCGCTTAAAGTAGATTGGAATCTGGGACTCCAAAAATACCTACTTTCAACGACCGATGGGCAACCGCAATCAACCAATGAGCTGTCGGAGGCGGTGCGGTTTCAGAGCAACGGCACGCTGCCCGATAGCTCAGGCAAACAGCAAGCCTAATCGAACAGGGCGGGCCTCAGCAACACGAGTCCACGGATTGCCCGAGCGTCGACTCGCCCCCGTGAAGACAACGCGAGGTTTTGAACTGAGACTAGAAAGCCCTTCACGGCCACGCCGCCGCACGGAGAATCCCGGGCCCCGGACCCGGACCGAGCCCGACGGCACCAGCGGGCGCCGAAGCTGCAGCCGTCCACGACGCACGCGCGGCAGTCGCGACGGGAGCGGGGGCAAAGGAGGGGAGGGGCGTGGCACATCCAGCTTGAAGTCGGACTCTCAGGGGGCACCAGGATCCCGGGGCGGCAGCAAGCAGGGATCGGCGAAGCACAGGATGGCGCTGGGAGTTGTCCCGCTCGCGGGCCCCTCGGGCCCGCGCATCTAGGTTGGGCAATCCCCGGGCATGATTCTTGCTGCGGAGCCTGCAGAACCTCCGACCGGGAGCTCTCGAAGACGGACCAAGACGGTCTCGATAAGGACCCAGGTGGACCCCAGCCGGCCCTAGAGGTGCCCCAGACGACCCGAGAGGGCTCCAAGACGAGCTCAAAAGGCCCCAAGAAGCAAAATATGTTGTTTGCGCCAAAATTTTGGAAAGGATCTTAGCGTTATCGTCTTTCGCGCTGCCCACCGCACAAGACAGCCCAAGAGGCTTTCAAGATCGCCCCAAGACAGCCCAAGAGGCTCCCAAGAGGGCCCCCAGACTGCCCAGGAGGGCCCCCAGACGGTCCAGGAGACCCCCAAGAAGGCTCAAGAGGCCCCGAAAAGGCTCCCAAGAGGCCCCAAGGAGCGCGCAAGAGGCCCACAAGAGGCCCCCATGCCCGAAAAGCCTCCAAGAGGCCTCCCTGACAGACGAAGACTCAAAAAGCCTTCAACAGAACCTTTTGTCCACGGCCCAGCCACACTGGGTGGGCCCAGCGGAATGAGCGAAGCGATTCAATATCATGTGCGCTATGTTGTGTAAGCTATGCAGAGTGAGCTACATGCTGTGCGCAATACGGTGCAAACTATGTGGCGTTATGTATATATATATATATATATGTATATATATATATATATATATATGTATATATATATGTGTGTGTTGCACAAGTTATGCAGCGTAAGTTATGCTATGTGAGCGATGCGGTATCAGCTACGTGGTGAAAGCTATGCGGTGTATGCCATGAAGGTATGAGGTCTGTGGTGTGAGCTGTGCGGTGCAAGCTGTATGGTGTGAGCTGCTGATGTGTGAGAGCTGTGTGGAGCGAGCTGTGGCGTGAGCTGTGCGGCAAAAGCTACGTGGAGGAGGAGGAGGAGGAGGAGGAGAGGTGGAGGGAGGAGGAAGGAGGGAGGAGGAGGAGGAGGAGGAGAGAAGATGACAGGGAGGAAGGAGGAAGAGGAGGAGGTGGAGAAGGAGGACAGGGAGGAGGAGAGGGAGGAGGAGGAGAGAGAAGGAGGAAGGAGAGGAGGAGGAGGAGGAGGAGGAGGAGGAGGGGATCGCGCCCTCCTCGCAGAAGGTGGGAGGGTGCTCATCCGCCCCGCAATGCCGAGAGGGGGCACGATCTGTCCGCAGCGTTGGTCGCAATGCCGACGGGTCGCGCCCTGCTCTCAGCACACGACATGGTGTCCCAGCGGGCGGTGGGTATGGACGTACTTTTCGGGGAGACGTAAGACTCGGGTGCGGGGGACTCGGGCTGGCCTGATAGGGGGCCATCATAGAGATGACGAGACCCAATCTGAAGGCTGGCGCGGGCTCCAGCTGCAGACATCCCACGAACACGGGACCGTCAAAATCCAGGACGCGCTCGTCAAAAAAAGTCGGCAAACCCGAGTTCCCGTTTACTCGAGTCTCACGTTTCCGCGAACTTTGGCCCCCAGGGGCCCGAATGTGTCCACATCCACCGCCCGCCGAGGTCTTCGAAAATTGATCCTCCGGGCGGTGGTCATGCATAAATTCCCGCCTTGGGCAGTTGCTTAAGCAAAGGCAGCCGGAAGCAGTAAGTGCAAGCACTGCCTCGAGAACGACATGGCAACACGAGCACAGCACAGGGCGTGTCGCGATCGAGTAGGAGAGAGGCCATAAGAGGACGTGACAAGAGTTGAGGAATCTTCCAGAGAGTTCTGGGGCGAAGCGGGAGCCACCAAGAAACCGGTCTGGAAGTCTTTGCGTGGAACAGAAAAGCACAGGCGAGGCCGACGCCGAGATCGCCGAACGCCAAGAACCCATCCTAATAAACAAATCGTGCGCCCAAGGCAACCATCGACCCTGTCAGGATCCGGGAGGCCTCTGAGACCGCCTCCGTGGCAGATTGATCCGCTCAGAAATGACATATGTACGAGAACGCGTGTGTGCAAAGGCATGGCATGCACATGTTAGAAGTCTGCATGCTATTCGTTGGAACGCTGTTGAACAAATATGTCTAACCACAAGAAGGAGAAGCCAGCGTAGGAAAATGCATCTGGCCTCTGCGCTGTCGAAGTGGACAAAACCAAATCCTCTGAAGCCGCCCATGTCGTCGTACTTCAGCACGCACTGCGTCACTGTCCCATACCAGGAAAAATGGGTCGATAGTTCCTTCAGCGGTGCAGTAAGCATGCTCGTGATCATCCCACAACTAACGACTGCGACACCTGATGCGAAACATGAAGAGACGAAGAGACATGACAGAGACAGTAGAAGGATCACACTGGGAGAGACTGTGGTGCACCATGCTGGGACAAGTCCGTGTCATCCTCGTCCCCCTCTTCCCCCTCCTCGTCCTCCCCTCCTCTTCCTCCTCCTCCTCCTCCTCAGCAGCAGTATCCTTACGCCTTGTCCTCCCATGTTCCTCCTCATCATCATCATCATCATCATCATCATCAGCAGCAGCAGCAGCAGCAGCATCATCATTACGTCTCGTCCTCCCATGTTCCTCCTCCTCCTCCTCCTCCTTCTCCTCCTCCTCCTCCTCCTCCTCCTCTTTCTCCTCCCCTCTCCCCCCTGCCGGTTGGGCACAACTGATATCACCCAACCGTCCAGAGCGGGGCGCGCCACACGGCAGATCCTGGGAGGGAGCGAGGCAGGCGCCACCACCGCTCGGCCCCGCACACGGCACAGGAGGCCTCAGAACGACATGGGACGCAGAAGGACACACCAAAAGATGCCCCTGTTACACTGGTCGTCGTCGCCCTCCTCCTCCTCCTCCTCCTCCTCCTCCCCGCTCCTCCTCCTCCTCCTCCTCCTCCTCCACCTCCTCCTCCTCCTCCTCCTCCCTCCGCTCCTCCTCCTCCTCCGTCCTCCTCCTCCTCCTCCCCACCTCCTCCTCCTCATCCCCTGTCCTCCTCCTCCTCCTCCTCCTCCTCCTCCTCACTCCTCCTCCTCCTCTCCTCCTCCGCCTCCTCCTCCTCCTCCTCCTCCTCCTCCTCCTCCCTCCTCCTCCTCCTCCTCCTCCTCCTCCTCCTCCTCCTCCTCCTCCTCCGCCTCCTCCTCCTCCTGTCCTCCTCCTCCTCCTCCCTCCTTCCTCCTCCTCCTCCTCCTCCTCCGTCTCCTCCCTCCCTCCCTCCCTCCCTCCTCCTCCTCCTCCCCCTCCACCCCCCTCCTCCTCCTCCTCCTCCCTCCCTCCCTCCCTTCCATCCTTCCTCCCTCCTCCTCGTCCTCAGGAACAACAATGTGGCGGATTCAGGAAACCCCGAACCCAAAAATGTGTTCATCTCTCGGGGGCCGCCACCTGCCGCCGCCCTTCCGCCGTCCTCCGCCGGCGGAGGCGGCCTCGTCTTACTTCCGCCGACCTTCCGCCGTTCTTCCGCCGCCTTCCGCGGCAGAAGAGATTGCAACTCCTTCGATCCTCGAAGGCAAGGCCATTTTGGAACGCCTCATGTGTCATCCTTGGAGGCGTGCGTCCGACCCGAACCTATAGTAGACTCATCTTGTAGTATATCGTTTCCCCAGCGGAACGGCCAGAAAGCGCCCGCCACGGAGCATATGCTACAAGACTTCTCGGCGCGCGCGTCGCCCCTTCGGGGGCGGCGCACACATAGTATAATTATGGTTCGGTGACGCCGACAAAGAAAGGGCCAGGGGGCGCATCCTCGAGCCAGCAAGATAGAGGAAAAAAAATCATAACTACACGTCGGTCGGAAGAAGCAGGTAAAAGCACGAAGTGGGAAGGCGGATACGGTAGGCTGGGTTAAGGCCCTCCCAGAAAATAACAAGACACAGCAAAAGCACCTCGACTCTTGAAGTAGGAAGGCGCTAGAAGTAGACTGGGATCTGGGAACCGAAAAAAGCGCCCTACTTTCAACGACCGACGTGTCAGCGTTAACCTTCGGAGGCCCGCACGGACTGCGTGCATCGGCGCTGGAGCCCCCTGGCGGCGCTCTCGACGCCGCCCCGAGGCTCGCCCCGCGCGCCAGAGAGGGCGGCCCCAGCGCCGATCCCAGAGACCCGCGCGGACCTCCGAAGTTTGGTGTTTCTGCTGCGCTTCGTCTCGGGCGGGCGGCACTGGAAGGGGCCCTGGGACACACAAACAAATCCACACAGACAACAGGATTCCCCATATTGTCCTGTACTTGCTGGGGTTTTGCCATCTCCCCCAATTCCCATATATCTTCCCATATTTTCCTGGGAGTCGACGATTAATTGTGTCTGTGTGTTTCTTTCCACGCAGGGGGCCCTGCACCTCTCGTGCGTGCGCCACGCCCGGGAGCCCCGAGCCAGATCACTCCC